GAATCAGAAAGCAATGGATTTCTTGCTTCTGCCACAATTTCCTCAGCTGTAAGCCTTCCAACCTTATAAATATTGCTTTATATGTGGTTCAGAATTCTGGGACCATCCCCTGAGCCTGCTTGGTCGGGTATTCTGTGTTGTTGCTGACTGAACACCTTACTGCACTTCCACCCAATCCGCCATCTTCATGGTCTCTTGACAAAGACTTTATACTGAAGGAAAAAAAAAAAAAAGCCAAATTCCTGCCGCCTGAACCTCTGACTTCATAATAAAGCTAATAGAACACAGAAAGCCCAGAAGAGATGCAGGTAGGTGGGCGAATACCAAGAGATCCCCCAAAATTTAGACTGTCCTCTTTGGACGTCTGGTGTGGCGCTGTAGGATCAGCATTGGACTGCAGCAGTTTAAACCCACCAGCTGCATCTCGGAAACCCTCCTATACAGGGTTGCTATGGATCAGTATCACACTTAGTAACAAGCAACTTTGGTGCTTGTGGTAAAAACTACTATGGTGGTGCTTTTCATCAAATGTTTTTAGTTCTATATCTAGGCCAAAGCAGGAATGCATTTTTCTGCCCCTTGTAGTTGGTAGGGCCATGTGATTAGTACCACTAGATAAACTGTGAACAGAAGGAAATGGTGTCAGTTCTGGGCTGGAGTAATTAATTGCCTGTGTAAGACCCTCCATTGCTTTTACTTTTTTCTTTTTGACATGGTGATTGATGGCATTTGAGGTGGTGGCTACTTTATCAGCCTTGATCTCTGAGTGACTGTAATAGAAGAGCCTGTTTGCTGACAATGATGCACATGTACAACCTGATGAAAAATATACTTTCATTGTTCTAAGGCACTAAGATTTAGGGGTTGTTAACACAGCATAGTCTAGTTTATTCTGACTAGAAACTAGTCTTACAAACTGCCTGGTAATAATTCGTAGTTGTTGTTAAGTGCCATGGACCTGCTTTGGACTCAAGCAACTCTATAGCAGAGTGTAATGTTGGCTGCCACCAAGTCAGCCCCTGAGGTCAGGAAATCCACAAACAATGGAACCAAATACTGCCTAGTACTGTACCATCCCCATGACTGGTTGTGGATGGGACTGCTGTGATTTTTTTGACTGTTTTTTCAGTAGTTCATTAGGTCTTTCCTTTCAGTACATCTTAATTTGGGCATGCCATTGAAACTTGTTCAGCATCATAGTAACATGCAAGCCACCACTGACAGGTGAGTGGTGGTTGTGCATGAGGTACATTGACCAGAAATCAAACTCAGGTCTCCCACAGGACAGGCAAGATTTCTACCATCAAACCACCAATACGCCCCAATTATTATTATCGCATGAAAGCCTCCCTATATGTCAGGCACTGTACAAAGGGGCTGCACAAGTTTGTGGGAAAATAGAATGAAAAGATAATGGAATGTTTCCACAAACTTTTTGAAACCCTCTAGGAGATTTAAGGAGCCCTGGTAGCATAGTGGATTACAAGCTGGGCTGCTAATGGGCTGCTAACAGCAAGGTCAATAGTTCGAATCTATCAGTTGCTCCTCAGGAGAAAGAGGCTTTCTGCTCCCATAAAGATTTACAGCCTCAGAAACCCTATAGGGTTGGTATGAATCAGAACCAACTTCATGATACACCACTGCCAGTGCATGCATTGTCTCGATTAATTCTCACAACAAACATGGGAGGCACATGGCATCACCCCATTACCCAGATGAGAAAACCAAAGCTTAGGAACTGGCACGAATATTTTATTTGCAGTATGTTGGTTACTGAAGATGCTGTTCCTTCTATCATTTACGCTCCCTTACATATCATGCGGAGTGAATTCTCTATAGCAAGTACAACAAGAACCCTTTCAGAAAGCAATTTTACATGCACCAAGCACCATTAAAATGTTCATACCCTTTGCCTCACTCATGACTCCATCACCTGTCCCCGTTCCATGGGTCCAGAAAGGAGGCGCCACCACCTGCCCTCCTGGATGCCAGACCAGCAAAGGCTGGTGGCCAGCAGCTGGTGCAGCCTGGATCAGGGAAGGTGGGACTGGAGTGGCTGCCTTTTGTAATTAGATTCAACAAGTTTTAAATATTGTGAAGAAAAAATAAATTAACAGAACTTGTTTCTTGAATTATTATTATGGTTCCTTTAACCAGATGTTAATAATGTTACTGGTACAGACCTGCGCTGTCACCATGGTGATGAACTTTAAACCAAAAGCACAATCAAGGTGACATTATCAGCTCCATGGGGACAGTGTTTGTGTTTTAAATTCCAGTCAACTATATGACTTTTGAATCTTTAATAGTAGTCCCTGCAAACGTTTCTGGCAGGATATAAACATATTTTGAAATATTTGTAACTTCATCTTGTATTTGTTATGTAGGCCTAGGGGTAGCTCCTGGCAGATTCGAAACAGAGCAATCAGTGAGTGTGCGGCGCCCCCTCGCGGTGCCTGGCGCAACAACACCCTAAATTCTTCAGCTTCCAAGTCCCTGTGCACCGTGACGCCCTTTCTCCTCTGGTCTCTTGGTCCCCTCTTCTAGCAACCCCCCATCTCTCACTAGCTCTTCTCCAGCCGGCAGAGGCCTCTGCTCTTACATAGTCTTCTTAGGTGTGTACATGGCACACTAGATACAGAGAAGGCCCCCACGATCCCTAAATTCGAAGTTCTTACAACTCCACCCTACACAGAAAGTCCCCAGGTTATTTTATTGCTGTATACAGAGATCAGTTAATGCCCCTGGGCGCCCCATCGGCTCCCCGCAGTGGTTGCGTTCTCGCCAGCAGTCCCCCGTTCCATAGGCCCAGAAAGGAGGCGCCACCACCTACCCTCCCCGAAGCCGGGCCAGAAGGGGCCAGTGGCCCGCAGCCCACAGCATGGGTCAGGGAAAGTGGGTCTGGAGGGGCCGCTCTTCGTCTGACCCTGCCACGACTCCCAGGTTTTGTCGCAGGCGCTGGGTCTCTACTTCTCGGCATAGCAGTAGGTCCCATAGGCTGCCTGTTGGGGGCTGGGGAAGCCGAAGCTGCGCACCCCGGGATCCGGGAGGCCCCCGCAGCGCGGCCGTGGTGTAGTGATAGGGAAGCGTACGCTGCCGTCCGCCAGCCAGCCGCCGTCGCACTGGTCCAGTCCTGAGAACTTCCAAGCGGCGTAGAGGTGCCCAACCTTAGCCACCACAGCCCCGCGCCGCCCGCACGCCTCGTGGGCATCGGATAGCGTCAGGCGTCCGGGAACGAAGAAGACATGGCCTGGGAACAGGGGCCGGTCACCGATCGTCCGAGAGGACCGTAGGGCGGGGAGTGGCATGATTCAGACTCCCGGGGAGCAGAGTCAGAAGGCAAGTTGCAGAGCAGCAGGACAAAATGTGGGGTGGAGAAGCGGAAATACCCAGCCAATGAGACGTAAGAGGGGCTTGCGGAAAGCGTGTTGGCGCCTGCGTGAACTAGGTCATTCAGGGGGCAAGGCCTTGAACCAACGAGACCCGCCTCCCCATTCCCCGCCTCCATCCTCAGACTCCGCCCAAGTCCCTGCCTCAGTTCCGCTCGCCCCTCCCCACCTTACTTGCTAGCCCTGCCCACAGCCCGTCGCCCCGCCCCTCACCAGCCAGCGCAGAGGAGAAGCAGAAAGCGTCGTAGTGGTCGCGCTTCCAGTCGCGGGATCCATAGCTGCGGATGCCTGGCCGTCCCCGGCCGCCGCAAGGAGTACGCGCCGTGAGCACAGGGTAGCGTACGGAGCCGTCAAGCAGCCAGCCAGCGTTACACCAGTCCAGACCCTCGGTCCACGCTGGCGGGAGACAGCAGGGAGCCGGGCAATTAGAGGCGTTAGTAGCAGGCAGTGTCGGATTACCCAATAAGCAAGGTAAACAAGGGCAAATTTGTGTTTATTTACTAATCTGTAGTGAACAATTCCACGTTTTTCATCCCATCAAAGATATAATGAAATCCATGTGAAATTGTTCACTACAAAATCGCAAATAAACACAGTAAACCCGTGTTTGCCTTGCTTATTGGGCAATATATGCCCCTGCCGGCAGATCCCAAACCTGCGCGCCCCACTTTGGGACCCATTTGACAGCTCGGAGGCGGCCTTTGAGATGCTGGGATTCAGCCACTTACCCTGGTACAGCTGCGCGTAGGTGGCCAGGCGGCCATCCTGATCCTCACACGCCTGCTTGGCCTCGTAGTAATTGAACTGGTACCGGCCCCGGCTGGGCTGGTACGGAAACACGACACCTTGGGGGTGACAGAGAACCTGAGGAAGGGGCAGCCTTCGAGAGAGGCCCAAGACCCCTGGAGGGGGCGGGCAAGTGCTGGGGGAGGACCCCTGGGAGACCCGAGGCGAGTTGGTGGGACTCAGTACTGAAGGAACCAGTGGGGGCAGAAAAGCCTCACCCTCCAGGCGCAGGGTCAGCGCCACGCTCTCGTCCTCAATGCCATTGATGAGCTCGCAGCGGTACCGGCCCTCATCCTCCAGGCGCACGCCGGCAATGACCAGGGAAGCGTCTAGCCGATGCCCCTTCCTCATCCTCGCACGTACCCCCAGGGGTCCGTAGCCGCGAGCGTGGAGTCCGTTGGTGATGAGGATCGGTGTTTCTCGGAGCTCTCCGGGCTCCACCTTACTCCAGCGCACCTTGTAGCTGGGGGGCGGGGCGCCCAGGACGCAGGGTAGCGTGGCCGTGGCCCCACGACGAGAGTGAATGACCTCGTGGATGGGGGGCAGGAGGTAGTGGGGGCCAGGGTGGGGCGCTGAGCAGAGGGGGCCACAGTGGCAGGAACCCCCTGATCTCCACTGCCCTGCCCTCCAAATGGGTTTCCCGTGCTCCCCCCAATCACCTCTTCCATTAACCGCTCTGCGATGGCTCTCATTTTCTGGATACTCTGAACAGCCGCCATTTACACTGTCCCCAATTTTTGGGTCCCCTACCCAATATTCCCCGGAGTCCTGGTGTGGCGCTGTGGGTTAATGCGCTAGACTGCAAGGTCGGCGGTTCAAGCTCACCAGTCACTCCTCGGAAACCCTATACAGGGTCGCTATGGGTCGGAACCGACTCGATGGCACTTAACAACAACAAACCCAATATTCCCCACATTCTGGGCTGGACTGGGGGCTTACCTGGCTCCCCCAGGGCTTTATGGAAGATGGTGAAGGACCAAGGGAAAAGGAAGCTGCAGAGTGCGGGAAGGGTGAGCCAGCCTGGCATGATGGGGATTCAGTCCAACACTGTCTATGAAACACAGAGTGACTTCCTTAGAGATGAGGGAAAGAGAGCAAGATTAGGAATTAATCCCCATGAGGGATTCCTCAACGGTGACTTCCAACTAGAAGCCATGTTGTTGCTGTTGTTAAGTGCCCTCTTGTCGTTCTGACTCACAGAGACCCTGAATTGGGGACTGAGGAGGAGCTGCTGTTGGGCTTTGGGGCAGGAAAGAGGACTGATGTGGATGACAATTTAAAAAGGGGGGAGGGGCAGTAGTAACAAAGCCCTCCCACCAGGTTTCCCGGGCAGATCTCTCCTTTCTCAGATGCAATCAATAAATCCAGATTTAGCATCTCTCTTCACAACTGCTTCTTTCCAACTCTTGCCATCTAGATTCCCATCTCCAGTCTCCACCTGTCTTCCAACATCATTCTCCATCCTGAATCCAGAGTCACTCTCCTGCTTAAAACAGTGGCTCCTCATTGCTGTGAAGATGAGGTCCAGCTCTTAAATAAGACTTCCAAGGCTCTCTGTGACCCAGTCTCTACCTGCCCCTCCAGCTTGGTTCTCCCAAACCCCTACCCAGCACCACCTGCACCCTCTGCACTGTGCTCCAGACTTCTGTTGGTTCTCAAAACTGTCCAAGTTTACTCTCACCTCCTTTTCACTCCAGGTTGGGCCTCCCTTCCTCTCTGAAACCTTCTCTCAGCTTCTAGTTCACCAGACTGTGATCTCCTTGCCTAATTCCTCTACTGGACAAGACTGGGGACTTTTTCCCCCCCTTCAGAAGTTCTTTTATAGTGTGCATTTGAAAGTAATACACATGTACTTCTTTTTAAAGTTTTATATTTTTCTTAATTCAAGCTGACTTTCCAAGAATGAAACATATCAATGAAATATTCCAGTATTTAGAAAACACTATTTTAAATGCCAGGAGCGTGGTAGATAAACATTGGCCTGAGAACCACAGGTCAATGGTTTTAGTCCTTAAGCCACTCAGTGGGAGAAAAATGAAGCTGTCTGCCCCAGCAAAGATTTACAGCCTTAAAACCCTATGGTGGTGGTTATGTGCCGTGGAGTCAGTTCCAACTCATAGCGACCCTGTACAGGGTTTCCAAGGCTGTAAATCTTTACAGGAGCAGAAAGCCTCATCTTTCTCCCATGGAACAGCTGGTAGTTTTGAACTACTGACCTTGCGGTTCGCAGCCTTATTCCTAACAACTATGCTACCCAGGTTCCTTATAAATTGGAACCAACTCAATGGCACTTAACCACAAACCACATTTTAAATGCCATTGTATATTTTAGTAATTAATTTTCCTTTCTTGTATCTATTCTCTATCACTTTGCTCCCCCCCCCATTTTTTTATTGGACTAAGGACTTCTTGACCTAGTTTTATTCATTTTCCAGATCTGACTCCTCCAATTCCTAATTATATGACTTTGAACAGTTACTTTTCTCTGCCTCAGTGTCTTCATTAGTAAAATGTAGGCAGTAATAGTGCATTCAATTCACCTCATTGAATAGTTGTGAAGATTAGATGTGTTAATAAATGTGAAATGCTTAAAATAGTGTTTGATACATAGTAAGTATAATGTATATGTTCGTTTCCAGCATAGTTTCTGGAACACCACTAACGTCAGGTCCATTCCAATACAGTAGAACTGCTTCATGGGGTTTCCAAGGCTGTAAAGCTTTACAGAAGCAGTCTTGTCTTTCTCCTATGGAACAGTTGGCATGTTTGAAATGCTAACATTTTGGTTAGCATCCCAATGCTTAACCCACTGCAACATGCAGGGCTCCTTTCTAGAACACAGTAAGTGTTAAATAACGTGTGTATTTTTTGTTGTTGTTGTTTAAACGTGTGTATTTAATGAATAAGCTCTCATTGAGGATTTCTGAGGAGAGATGGGGGAGGAGAGAGGGAGGAAACACTAAAGAGGAGTGAGAGAATGAAGACCCTGAGTTCTATCTTCCTGAAGGTGAAAGCCAAAGTTGAGCTTGCAGTAGGAGGAATGGAGGTTAGATACAGAAAGAACTTCCCAATAGTTAAAAGGGAAAGTATCTAGAACTTGGAACCCAGGAGACTGTGTTTCTTAGACATCCTTCAAATCTGGAACTTGACACACCCCATGGATCAAATTTCAGTCAAATTCTAGAGCTATAAGGTGAACATTGACACCAGGAGGTTCCCATTATTTAGAACAATTAATCATATGTGATCAAAAGGGCATCATTTGTCTGGGCATGAAGGGATAGAAAAAAAAAAAACGATGAATGGAAGTGAAAAAGACAGGGAAGAAGTGAAAAGAGTGCTGTTACATTGTACCGATAGCAATCAATGACATGAAACAAATTGCGTATGAATTGTTTAAGGAGAAAACCAATTTGCTCTGTAAATTTCACCCAAATCACAATAAAAAATTTTTAAAAAGAAAGTGTCTGGAATAGGAACATGGGCAAGACAGTCACTTCTCCTTTATAGTTGTTGCTGTTGTTAAGTGCCTCTAAGTAAGAGTGATCATGGAAACTGAGAAATTGATTCAAAGACAAAAAGAAAAAAGATAGCTAGAGTTAACATGTATTTAAAGTTTTAATGTGCCAGACACTAAGTTCTTTACATTTCTTTCCATCTACACATATGTATGGGGTCCTGGTGTAGAGCTTGTAGGATAAGCACTGCACTGCTAACTGAAAGGTTGATCATTCAAACTCACCAGCCACTCCTTGGAAACCCTATACAGGGTTGCTGTAAGTCAGAACTGACTCAATGGCACTTAACAGAAACAATAACACACATACATGTATATACATATGTATATACATATGAAAATTTATATACTCCTTCTAGCAATGCTATGAGGTAAGAACTGAATCCCATTTTATTAAAGGTGTACAAATATTAAATAATTTGAATGAGGTCACACATTAGTAAGAAGAGAGAATTTGCTGGGATTTGAGCCCAGATCTGACAGTGAACCACCTGAAAAAGTTAAACATAGAACTGCCATATGACTCAGCAATTCTACTCCTAGGTATATGCCCAAACAACTTGAAAATAAGGATCCAAATAGATACTTGCAAAGCAATATTCATTGCAACATTTTCCACAACAGCCAAAAGGTAGAAGCAACCCAAGTGTCTGTTAACAGATGAATGGGTAAGCAAATGTGGTAGATACTTGCAACAGATTATTACCAAGTCATAAAGAGAAATGAAATTCTGAGATATGCTAGGACATAGATTAACCTTGAAAACATTTTGCTGGGTAGAATAAGACAGGCCCTGAAGGACAAATATATCAACCCATTTATATGAAATATCTAGAATAGGCAAATGTATAGAGGCATAAGCTTATTAGTAGTTACCAGGGACTGAGGAAGGGGGCAATTATTGTTTAAGAAATATTCAGTTTCTTCATCAGGGGTGATGAAAAACTTTTGGAAATAGATAAGGATGATTGCCCAACATGGTAAATATAATTAGTGTCACTGAGTTGTACACTTAAAAAATGGTTAAAAAGACAAATCTTTTGTTATATATAATTTAACACAATAAAATCAAAAACAGATGCACACATATCATCTTCATACCCCTAAATGAAATGAGAGCATGTCAACAGCTTCCTTGCCTACCTGTTAGAAGTTGGTCTCTTCACAGAGGCAGAGTCAGCAATGACTTGCAGCTTTTGGTCCCAGTTGAGGTTCTGGATGAAGGTGTTGCCTGGGCTCCTGAGAGATCCAAGCACCTTAAAGGCCCAGGACTTGAAGACCTAATCAGTGTGGTCCCTCCTTTTGCACCTTTAAGGAAAGGCTTCTACCATGAGCTCAAAGAAGTCAAAGACCCAAGAACTAGCCACCCCCAAACCCAATCAGATCACTCCACTAAGTCAGCCTATGTGACTGGTGTCCAACTCTGTGGAACTAACTCATTGTCATAGGCCCAGGAGAAGAAGCTAGCCTTGGAATGGTGGGTGGGAATGAATGAAAGGGATGGAGTGATAACCTGGGAGAATGTGGACAGTGGGGTGCCTCATGCTTCTGAGATGCTCTCGGATCAGAGAAAGGGTGGGTTGATTGGTGTGGGGAGAGTATTGAACCTGAGTATGGGGATGAACTATGAATGAGACTCAATAATCCATATGTCAAGCTCCAGCTGCCTCCGCACATCCATATGGGCCTCCTCTAAGTAATACCCCGCGGGGCCCCTACATTCTGCATCCACCCCCAAAGTCCTCACCTCTGCCTTCCGGTGTCTGAGGGCGCATTGCCTATAGGAAGAAGCTCTCAAAGTGGGAACCAGATTTCCAGGACCTCCAGCTGCTTCAAGAAACTTGACCCCTTCTGCCCAGCCCCCTGTCTGTCTGTCTGTCTGTCTGTCCTTTCCTGCTCTGTCCCCACCCCATTGGAAGAACAATTTCCCATTGTCTCCATCTTTTCCCCTATTGTTGAATAACAGGGCCCCTTTCTTTATCCCATGGGTAATGACAACGAAATGTCAACAGCTGGGGATGTGGGATGCAGGACCGGCTGGCACATACCACCGGAAAAAGGGCCTGTGTGAGGGGCGGACTCAGAACAGAAATTAAAATCCCCAAGGAAGAAGGAGGTTACAGGGAGATAATAGATGGTGAGAAGCATGGAATTGGGTCCTCCAGTCCTCCAAATTACAAGGCTCTGATTTTGTCTGAGGCCAGGGGAATGGCTGGGCTCTGTAGAAGGCAAAAGAGTGGCTGGTACCAATAGAAGAGAAGGAAGTTAGACAGTAAGAAGGATTTTTATGTCACTGGGAAAGGATGGAGGGGTTTTGGAAAGCTCTCTTGAGCCCAGGCAGATAATCTTCTTAGTTTAAAGTTCTCAAAAGAAGGGAGATTCTTCCCCCACCTAAGTTAACATTCACTCTCCCTAAAGTTCCTCTTATTAGGAAGTTCTTTCTGAAGTCTGAACTGCTGCTGGAGTTGACAGTTCTTTTAAAAAATCTTTTAATTGAGGTATAATTTACACACAGGAGAGTTCATAGATCGTAAGTGTACAATTTGATGAGTTTTTACATGTGTACATCCCCCAAATGAAGATCCAGAACATTTTCAACAACCCAGAATAAATCCTTCTTAGCCTTTTAAATAACTGCAGAATAACCCCATATCTAGTAACTTTATGGGGTTAGAATTATACACAATCAGAACTAGAGGGGACTACAAACACTCAGCTTCCTCATTTGCCAAACAATGAAGAGCTGATGGAGAGGAAGGTGACTTACTTGGGACCACACAGAGTCCTGGTGTGGAGCTGTGAGTTAATGCGTTGGACTGCAAAATTGGTTTGAACCACAAGGTCGGTGGTTCAAGCTCACCAAAATTTCCTTGGAAACCCTACACAGGGTCACTATGGGTCAAAACCAACTTGATGGCACTTAACAACAACAACAACAATACAGAGTACAGTTGTTGAGTCAACTCTAGAATTTACTGCTTTCTTCACTAGCCCCTCTTTGCCTTCTTTCCAGCCCTTTCCATAATAGGGAATCCATTTCAATTCCACTCTTTAGAGATCCAGCTCACTAACTTTTTCCCTATCCACTCCATCCCTGTTTTTAAGCCTTTTCCTCCGCCTCCCTGACTGTCTCATGAGAGAAGACAAATAGCCCCCTGTCTTCTAGGACAGGACACCCTGATCCAGTGCATCTGATTGGCTTCAGCCCAACTCAAACAAACAGCCTCCCAACAGAGCAAGGGGGAGAGTATACATGGCTCCAAAACATGGGCCATTGCCTCTAATCCAGGCTCACTCTTTACCACTCCTTTCTCACTAAATTCTGAACAGTGCCTTTAGAAGTCTCTTCTATGTAAATCCCAGAGACAATGAGTTTGGCAAGGAAGAATGCCTAAAACTGTTTGATAGATGCCAAAAGAACCCTTTGAAGATACAATGAGAGAGGAAGAGACAGAAATAATTATACAGTGAGATAAAGTCATACTAGGTTAGTGTGGAACCTAATCCAAAGACTGGTGTCCTTTTTAAAAAGAGGCAAATTTCCTATACCTAGGGATGCAGTAGCTCAAAAGAGGGAACAAATCCTTATAGCAAGGATCATTCCCACCCCCTCCATACACAGAGTAGACAGGGATGGGCAACTTGGACATTGGCTACCCAAAATGGGGGGGTACAAAGGCA